ACTCTGCCTAGAGATTTTCTCTGACTTTGGAAAAATCAAAGAATGTTTCCCATGATAGAGACAACAACATGCCAAAATATCAAACAATGGTGAAATGTCTACATGCATGGAGAATTAAAAGACTCAAAACAGGGTTTAATTAATTAAAAATAAAACATGCATCAAATAAACTTCAAACTATTGCCACATTGTTCTCCTTTGTTCACTTAGCACTGGGATATTTTTATTTTATTTTTATGATTTTTCTAAACCAAGATATGGATTTTCAAAGTTTAGGGACATTTTCTGATTTATTTAATATTTAAACGCGTGGCACCGCCTCATCCTAGGCAGCTCCGAACCTCCACGCGGCTCGTTTCTATTTGACGTCGACATCCACCTCAGCGGTGACTAGGCCCACATTTCATGTAAGGGAGCACTGTCCGGTTTGATCTCATCCGTTGATAAGATAAACCCGCGAACAGACGGCTCTCTATCATCATCCCTAATGGCCTAGCCCGAGAACCGTCCATATTTAAGGCTTGATAAAGAGTATAAATTCTTTACTCAAGATGGAATTTTAAAGGTTGGTAAAAGCTCTATTGTTATGATGAAAGGTTAGAAGAAGGTTGTTGGACTATATATTTTGCAAGGCTCCATAGTGATAAGTGATACACCAGTGACTACTTCTTCCACGTCAAATGATGAAGCAACCAGACTTTGGCATTTGTATCTTGGACATATGAGTGATAATAAAATGGTTGAACTGGGCAAAAGAAAACTAAAAGGTCTAAATATTACTAAATTGAAGTTTCGTGAGCATTGTGCTTTAAAAATAAAAGTGAGTAAAGTTCAATAGTGGTATTCACGGTACCAATGAAATACTATACTACATAGGTTATGATATTTAGGGACCATCTATAATACCATCTGAAGGTAGTTCCAAATATATGCTAACATTTATTGATGATTTCTTGAAAAAAAAATTAGGTTTTCTTCTTGAAGCAAAAGAGCAATGTTTTTACCACCTTTAAGAAGTGAAAGCTTATGATTGAAAAGTTGAGTGGAAAACAAATAAAATTTCTTTCCACTGATAAAGGGAGGGATTTATGTTCAGGATAAGTTAATGCATTTTGCAAATCAGAAGAAATTAGGAGAGATTTCACAGACCGACACACAACTCAAGAAAATGGTATGACAGAGCGAATCAACATGGCTATCATGAAGATGTATTGCATACTCTCCAATCTCAAGCTACCTAAATCATTTTGGGTTGAATCTGCTTCTACATTTTGTTACATGATGAATCATTCTCTTTCCATTATTATTAACAAAAAAACTCCACAATAGAATTGGTCAATTAAACCTACATATTACTGTAATTTAAGTATTTGGGGCTACCTTGCATATGCTCATATTAATAATGATAAATTAAAGCCTAGATCTATAAGATGTATAATTTTTTGTTTTAAAACTGGAGTAAGAAGTTATAAGTTGTGATGCCTAGAAACTAAAAAAGCGACAATTAATAGAAATATTATATTTGATGAATCTATCATGTTACATACTACACCTATCACAAAATACAAGGGTGATCATCAGAATTAAATGTCTAGCAGACAAGTGGAGCTTCAGATTGATACATGTACACCTTTGGTCATTACTTCTTAGTTAAATCCAAATAATCATGGTGATGTTGTTTTTCCACCATCACGATGACAATTATCCCAGTATTTTATAGCCAAGGATATAATAAGAAGAGAAATCAAGTTGCCTCAAGGGTATGGTGATGTCGATTTGGTTGCTTATGCTCTAAATATTGCTGAAGTTATCAAGTGTAGTGAAGAAACGTCTAGATATAAAGAGGCAATAAATCAGTTGACACTAGTAAGTGGATGATTGTTGTGCAAGAGGAGATTGCTTCTTTACACAAAAATAAGACTTTGAATTTGATAAAGTTTCCTCAAGGGAAGAAAATTGTTCGCTTCAAGGCAAGAAAGTTGTTCATTGTAAGAGATTTATAAGAAGGTTCACCAAGTGTTGAATGTGTCAGATATCAGACTAGACTTGTTGCAAAGGGATCCGATTAAATTTCAGGTGTAGACTTTATAGATGCATTCTCTCTGGTGATCAACATAGCTCAGTTCAAGCTTTATTTGGCATTGTGACTAAATCACAATCTCGAGCTTGAGAGGTTAGATGTAAATATTGCATTTATGCATGAAGCGCATGAGGGCCTCTATAAGCAACAGTTTGATGGCTTTGTTGTTACAAGAAAAGAATGTCATGTTTGTTTATTGAAGAAATCTCTTTACAGTTTCAAAACAGTCTTCTAAGCAATGCTATAAGAAAACTTGACTCATTTATGACTTCTAATGACATTAAGAGAATTAGTTATGATAGTTGTATTTAATTCAAGAAAAATAAAAAAAGGATCATCTAACTACTTACTCTTATATGTCCATGATATAATGATAGCTGTTAAAGATGAATAAGACATCAAAATGTTAAAAAACTTGACTTAGTAGTTAGTTTGAGATGAAGGATTTGGGAGTCACAAAGAAAATACTTGGCATGGAGATTCAAGGAGATAGAAATGAACATAAGTTATTTTTTAGTCATAAGAGGTACATTAAGAAAGTCTTGCATGGGCTCAATATATAGAATGTCAAACCTATTAGTACTCCATTAGTTTCACATTTCAGACTTTCATCAGCTTTTTGTTCACAATCAGATGATGAGATTGAGTTGATGTATCAAGTTCCATATTTCAGTTCAATGAGATCTCTCATGTATGCTATGATATATTCTCATCCAGATTTATCATAAGTAGTTAGCGCAGTGAGTAGATATATGAGTTATTCATGTAAGGAGCATTGGAAAGCAGTTAAGAAGATCATCAAGTACATATGTGTAACAAAAGTTACTTGATTGCAATTCGGGTGATTTGTGGATAGAGTTTTTGGCTATGTTGATTTAGAATTTGTCAGAAATCTTGATAGAAAGAGATAATTAACAGGATACACGTTTTCTATTAGTGGTTGTGTGATTAGTTGGAAGGCTACTTTACAGACAATAGTGACACTATCTACGACTGAAGCTGAGCATAAGATAATTAGTTGAAATATCTATTTGAAGAACTTAGTGAAGATTTGAAGATGACCACAAAAATGCGTGATAGTTAAGAGTGTTATTCATGCGTGTCAACGAGCTGGTTACCACCACATTCAAATTCAAATTGTAGCACATTGTTGGTATAAAATCAACATAATTAATCACACTAATAGCGGTTTCCATAATCGTTCACTTCTTTCTATAATTGTATAAATATGTCTCTATAAATTGAAGGCAAAAAAACAAATAAAAGATCTCTCCCAGTTTCTCTACGAGGACTGCCTCAATTACTTTACTCTCTCTCTCTCTCTCTCTCTCTCTTATCCTCCTCTCGGCTCTAACTCTCGAGTCATCACATAGGACAATTCAAAATTCAACAAAAGAAAAAGGGAAATGCAAAACATAGTATATATTCTTTCGCTATATGAATTCTAAAATATGCATATACATCAAAACAAACAAAAATAAAGAGACTTTGCAAAACAATTGCATCATTTTTAACTTAGTGAAGATTTGAAGATGACCACAAAAATGGGTGATAGTTAAGAGTGTTATTTGTCTAAGTAAAGATCAAATTTTTCATCAGAGAAGCAAGCACTTTGATGTTCGTTATAACTTTATTTTTGAAGTTATTACTCAAGATGATATTTTTGTACGCAAGATCAATACCAATGACAATCACGCAGATATGATACTTAAGAAATTTCTAATAGCCAAACTTGAGCTTGCTTAGACATAGTTGGTATTTATTTATTATCATTAGATCTTTGTGGAGGTGGTGGAAAAAGTTCTATTACATATATTTAAAAATTCATATCAATGTGAAGATTGCTAAATTTGTAACATCTTATATTTTTTGAGTTGACGTGAATTGAATCTTCGAAAGAAATTGTGAGCATGCGGATTGAGACTTTAGAAAAAAATCATGAGCATAAATTTACTTTAATCTTATTATAGCTTTTAGATTACAATCTATTTGTTATTACTTTATAGACTACTTTTAATTATTTACTTTAATTTACCCCATTTTGTTTTGTACAAGACAACCGCCTTTCTTTGTTTTGGTTTTATGTTGGTCAAAGCTCTCCGCTCTTAATTTTATATTTCATACAATGAATTATCCTCCTTTGCCCATGATTTTTCACATTCTGGGTTTTCCACGAAAAATTCATTTTTTTTGTATTGTTTGCTGCATCGATTCAATATTAAGTTATAATATAATTTAAGTTTCTTGAATTAATTGATTGAGTGGAATTAGTATTGATTATAAATACATAACTTTCTAAAAACTCTCACAATAAAATAATAGAGAGAAAAAATATTACTTTCTAAGTGTTGTTTTCTAAATAGAAGCAACCAAATGAGCCATTAGATGAAACGAAAAAGACTAAACATGAATAGTACTCAACTATGCACGTGTTTGCACATTTGCTTATTACTATTATATATTTACAACTGACACTCATTGTTGTATATACAAGACCAATTTCAAGCGTGTCAATGAGCTGGTTGCCACCACATTCAAATTCAAATTGTAGCACATTGTTGGTATAAAATAAACATAATTCATCGCATTAAGAGCAATTTTCATAACCGTTCACTTCTTTCTATAATTGTATAAATATGTCTCTATAAATTGAAGGCAAAAGAACGAATAAAAGATCTTTCCCAATTTCTCTATGGGGACTGCCTCAATTACTTTACTCTCTCTCTCTCTCTCTCTCTCTCTTATCCTCCTCATGACTCTTAACTCTCGAGTCATCACATAGGACAATTCAGAATTCAACAAAAGAAAAATGGAAATGCAAAACATAGTATATATTCTTTCACTATATGAATTCTAAAATATGCCTATACATCAAAACAAACAAAAATAAGAGACTTTGCAGAACAATTGCATATGCCTATACATCAAAACAAACAAAAATAAGAGACTTTGCAGAACAATTGCATCATTTTCTAACAAAACGAAGAACACCAACTTCGTGTCAAAAAAAAAAAAATGCAATCTAAATCAACCTAATAATCCAACTATACAAATACCATACTGAAAAATCAGTCCAGATATATAACTTCTTCAGGTGTTAATCCAATCTGTCCACTTCTTTCTTTTGATTCTTTTAGCTTCATCCTTTTTACACCTCTCTTGTTGATCAATGGTTCTTCATCTTCCTCAGACTCTTCGTCTGTATAAACACCTAACCAAGGAATTACCAATGAAATTTCTCTCTTCCTTCTGTAAGATTTGTTCTTCTCAATGTTACTTTTATTGCATTTCTTCCTATAAGTTCTTTGATATGTCAGTATGTTTTCCGAGCAATTGGTTTTGTGACTCATGGATGAGCAGACGTTAGTAAATTTTCCCTGCATTTTGATGTTGTTGTTATCCTTTCTTCCTTCTGCAAGTTGGATTCTTCTCTTTCTTTTGGTCGCATTGGATGAATCTGAACCCTCGCACTCGTTATTCTCTTGAAATCCTGAACATTTGGGTTGCACATAAAACCTTTAGTCTAGAGTTTATTAGAATGAAATTTTTCCTAAGAATAGAACAAATTAATTTGTGACAAAGACAGCCTTTTTTGGGATCAATTTTATTTTTAAAACATATCTTTCAAGTGTATTTTTTACATATTTTTATTTTATTTTCTAAAAGCAAGTTAACATCTTTTTAAAAGCACTCGGAAATAAATTTTATCCTTTAATCAAATAACTAAACATATTTTATTCAAAACGGAACATAAACAAAATAAAACAAAATTAGAAATTAGAAAATAAAAAATAAAATTGATCCCAAACAAACCCTAAAAATTGAAAATGAATTCATTAATCGATTGGAAGTATTTAAGAATTAGTATTTGATTTTAAAAACCACACAAACTTACTCTAAGACCCAGGCAAAAGTGATGATTGCATATCCAAACTAAAAATAATGGAATGCAAAACATTGCTTTCAAAAATATGTTTCCGGATTTAGGGTTTAGGGTTTAGGGTTTAGGAAAACGTAGTCAAGATTACAAAAAAAAGACTTTCACAAGATGGTCCCCCAAAAAAAAAGCTTTTTTTTAAGTGGAAGATGAGTCTTTGGGTGGCTGAGATCTATAGAAAACTAATTTCTAAATCATGTTTTAGTTCTGTTTTATTTAGATCAAGAAATCAATTGACATTTATACGTAAGGCTATTTGATGGCTTAAAAAAGATCACCATCATTGTCATTTTTAATTATATTGCGTTTTCTAAGCAAGACAGAACTAAATCAAACACAGCATATATGATGAAGGATATTCGTATCTAAATAATACCGTTATCTAACCCTGCCAGCAAGAAAGCACTGAACAGAACAAAACAGCCGAGGTAAATATTGCAAGCCAAAAAAAAAAAAAAAAAAAAAGAGATGATTTACATACATACCACACAATTCCTATGTAATTATGTATCTAAACCCTAAACTTCAATTTTTACCTATATGCCACCTTAATTATGCACAAAAAAGGTGCATTATATTTTTTTTGTGATGTGAAAGATTTAGGTGTAAATCAGAAATGATCCGAATCAAGGGATTTATTCCCCACTACTCACAACATAAAGCTAGACTAAAGTCTTATTACATAACTACCCTTAGGTAGTGAATATAGGTTTAATTAGGTAGTGAATATAGGTTTAAATTAAAGCTAGTGTAATAAGGTAAATATATCTTATGATCCCCCGTCAAGGTGATGGTTCTTAGGAAGAACCTAAAGCTTGGTTCTGGAGTAATGAAATTTCTGTTTATCAAGAGGTTTAGCGAAGATATCACCTTGTTGATCTTGTGTAGGTATGTAGTGGATTTACAGTTGTCCTTGATGGATATGATCGCAAATAAAATAGTTAATCGATCTCGATGTGATTAATTCGTGCATGGAACACCGGATTGTTGGAAATAGACATGGCGGAAACATTGTCATAAAAAAGTTTCGTTGGATACGGTTGTTCTACTCCAAGTTCCATAAGAAGGCGGCAAAGCCATATGATATCAACAAAGGCTGCGACGAGGGCATGAAATTCCGCCTCAGAAGACAATCGAGCAACAGTTTGTTGCCTTTTCACAATCCATGAGATAGAAGTCGAGCCAAGAAGAGAACAAAACCTTGTCGTGGATTTTCGGTTTACCAAATAACCAGCCCAATCCCCATCCGAGAAGGTTTGTAGACATGGTTCCCCATGAGTGATATGAATGCCTGATGTAACTGTGTCTTGCACGTAGCATAGAAGGTGTTTGAGGAGTTGGAAGTGATGAATTGTTGGTTAGTGCATTCGTTGGCAGATTTTGTTGACGGTGAAGATTATGTCCGATCGAGTAATCGTAAGTTATTGGACAACACCTGCAACACGTCGATATTCCGATGGGTTTTCCATAGGTTGTGTGTTGTCCGGATTGTTAATTTGCTTGCTTGGAAGAGGAGTAGGAACATGTTTACAACCTGTCATGGCCTTCTCATGTAAGATATTGGTGAGATATGTCTGTTGGCTTAGAAACATTGAATGTGGTGTTCGGCATACCACAATTCCCAAAAATTTATGCATTCACCAAGTTCGGTGATAGCCATGCAATCTCCGGTGATAAGAATCTCGCCGACATCAAGCAGGAAGGTGGTATGTGCAGAATTTCTTCGGAGAAGCAATGACTGATCTGCCCGGTTGATGGTAAAGCTCAATGAGATCATGAAATCCTAAATGATAGTAAACTAATTCGAGGGGAGTGCTTTAACCCATAGAGTGACTTTTTGAGAAGACAAGTATTGTGATAATTGCGGATCCATAAATCTGTACGGTTGATTCATATAGATCGTTTCATGAAGAGTTTCATGGAGTAAGGCGTTAAGAGACATGAAATTGTTGGATGGGCCAATTGCCATTGAAGGCCGCCGTTAAGAGAATGCAGAGGGTTGCCATTTTCGCTACCAGGCTAACCGTTTCACAATAGTTGATGCCAAACTCTTGGTTGAAGCCTTGGGCTACTAACGTTGCTTTATAGCAAGCAATTGAACCATCCGAGTGTTATAAAGTACAATAAGTCCACCGACAACCCAATACCGGATGGTTGAGAGGAGAGGGAACAAGGGCCCATGTTCCTTGAGCTTGAAGGGCATGAAATTCCTCGTTGATGACCCTTCGCCAATGTTCAGATTTCAATGCTTGGGCGTATGAGGTTGGATCTGTGGGATGTAAGGTTTGATGAAGAGGATTAAGGGGCCTAGTGGATTTGAGGTTGTCGATTTTGGCTCGAGTGGCCATATTTTGGGTTGGATGGCTGAGATAGGTACAAGTGGGGGTCGATATGAGTTGGATCCGTAGGTGTGGGTTGCAAGGTTGTTGTGGCATGGGGAAATGTGTTCTCATAAAATAAAACATCACAGAAGATTATGGTCTTGGGTGTTCGAGGGTTAAAATATTTAAAAATTTTGTGACTTGGAGAGTATCTGAGAAAAATTGCATGGGGTCGAGCGAGGAGCAAGTTTGTGCAGTTTAGTTGGTTTCATCCAAGGGTAGCATAAGCATCCAAAAACCCTCAAGTGAGTAAGTGAGTGAGATTTTATAGAGAAGCTCATATGTTGTGAATCATTTTGTGATTTTAGATGGCATACAATTTATGAAATAGACAATTGTGAGCAAGGCTTCATGCCAAAATGTAAGTGGAAGAGATGCTTCATGTAAGAGTGTGCGAGTTGTTTAAATCAAGTGACGATGTTTGCATTCCACAATATCGTTCTATTGAGAGGTGTAGGGACAAGAGAACTGATGTATCATGTCGTGTTGCGTAAAGGCTTGTTTGACAGTGGAGCTATTATATTCCCCACCACCATCAGATCAAAATATTTGAATGACAGTGTTGAATTGATTTTTTATGAGATTAAGGAACCCAAAGGAGATTTGGGAAAATTTAGACTCACATTTCATGGGATAAAGCCGGTAAAATTTAGGGTAATCATCAATAAAAACGACATAATATCGAAAATCTTGATATGAAAAAATTTGTAAGTTGTAAAGGTAAGTACATATGTAATGAACGAAGAGAGAAGATTGTCTATGACTGTTACTACAATTGCAACTATTACATAAAGTAGGATAAGTAATTCCTACAGTCGGCTGAAGCTTGGGCATATGGTCAAGGATATCGGTGTGTGGATGACCAAGTCTTTTGTGTCTAAGTGTGGAGGATTGAGATGAGGTAGCCAATGCTTGATGAGCGACTGAGGTGGTTGATTTGATTGAAGGTGGAGATATGGAGTATAATCTTTTGGAATTATGTCCACGAAGTAGTATGTGATGAGTCTACGGATCAAATATAAGAAAACCAACACGATCAAAGATAAATGCAACATTTTTTTCCGCAATTAATTAATGAATGGATATAACAAATTGTGTGATAAAGAGGGTACATGGCAAATGGAGGGAAGACAAAGTGAGCTAGTTGGAGTAGGAAGCATACCGTCACTTGTGTGTTTGACCTCAAGTGAGTGTCTGATTCCAACTAGGACTTCTTCTGAACTGTTTGCGGGATAAGCAACTTTGAAATGAGAAAGATCTGTCGTGAGATGAGTTGTGGCCCCCGAATCTATATCCCATAAGGATTCCGCTTGCAGGGCTTTATTGGTAGGCAATATTCTACATTGGAGCGGCGCCAACAATGAGCTGCGAAATCACTAAATTTCTTGCATATCTGACACACAACCGAAGTCCTAGGAGAGGTATGGTTGGGTTCTGACTGATTTGATGGAGATGAAATATTTCTGCCTCTCCCTCGGGATGAAGTACCTTGTCGTCCACGGTAGGTGTTTAAGGCTAGTTGTGGATTGATAGTCGGCTTGAGCTTCTGTTTATCTGTGTTTTGATTGATCTCCTCACTACAAAGTAGAGCATAGAAGTCGTGCAATGCCATTGGTTGTAGTTGGATGTGTATAGTCATTTTAAATGATTGATAGGTTGTCGGAAGTCCATTCAATGTGTAGAGTATGATGTCCTCATTGTTTAGGTTGCCTCCGGCGGCCGAGATATTGTCCACCAAGGTTTTGATCATGGATAGATATTGGGTCATGGATTGGGTATTCATGGATATAGAATGTAGTTCGCTTTTCCATTGGATTAGCTGTGACAAATTAGTCAGTTGGAGGCGTTTGGCTGTGGTAACCGAAATTTTGGTCGTGGTGGGTAAGTGGAGGATATATGGAAGGATTGTTGGGGATATGATTGGGGCCGCAGTTAGATTCCGATCTATAAGGATCCAATTCATGTATTGAGTGTTTACTGATGGGATGGCTTCATTTGGGTTGAGAAGTTTCAGAGTACAAGAAATGGAACTTGTAAGAATCTAATAAACCATTTGTAGTAAATGTTTTTTAGTATTTGAGCTTTATGGATGCAGGGAAAATATAGCTGGAGTATAGGACTTCAGATTTGGAGTTCGGTGGAGCCAAGTAAGGAGACTGAGGGTGAGGTTTC